AACCGAAAGGTTTCTCTCTTAAAGCTCTTTGTTACACTGTATTTCATGTACATGTATTATTCACCTTCTGCAGCAAGGGCCAAGACAGCTGTCAGTTCAATCTGCGTTTCAGAGCTCTACCCTGCAGCTGTCCCTGTGCGATGCATGGCACAGGGCATGGGGCGAATGGCCCGTGCTGTGTGCTGGGGAGCACTTATTTGCCAGGCAGTCCCAGAAGCACTGTTAGAACCAGCTTTGTCCACGGAAGGCTGGAGGAGGGTTTTGTTACCAAAAGCAAGGCTTTTCTCTTGCATCTACGTTGTACCAAAGGTAAGGAGTTGTAACACTCTCCTCAACAGCTTTGCTTCTTCATTCTTTTTCTTCCATTTTTGTCTCTCAAGCCTTCTCTGTTGTAAAGTACAAAACCTACAAAGCTTTGGAATTGTAGCTTCCTTTCTTTACAGTGAGGTGGATACAGAACCTCACATGTAATGATTCTAGTTGGGATCTTTCTTTGTATACTTTTAATTCAATTATGAAGCACAGTATAAATGGCATACCGGCTAGAGATATTTGTGTCCATAATGTCTGGTTTACTACAGCCTCAGAGAAGCTGAGGTTACCCAACAGTTGTCTGGCTCCTGCTTTGCAGACATACAGTTGGGCTACTATACCTTTGTGGAAGGTCGTTATATGGACCTTAGCGATTACCTGTTCTCTAAGTACTTAAAAGTCATGGGTAGACAGGGATGTATTTTAGTCACACTACTCTCTCTGCTAACAAAACTTTGTAACGTTTCTAGGGAAAACAGCATAAATTAGCACAATCTTCAAATCCCTCAGACTTACCCCAGAAGCAAGAAAGCCTTTTGACAGACAGAACAGCCTGGAGCTCTTGCCCTGGAAGACTGGCTGGTATCCTCTGAGTCTCTGCAGTTCCTAGGAATCAAGGTATTACCCCTGTGTTGTGTTAGGGTATTTAGAAGTTGGTCTGTCCCATCTCATTCTGAGCTCTCACACACAATGGTGAGTTCTTTAATGTCTGATTAAGATCCACTTTGTCAGAATAACTCAGGATTACAGTTTAAGACTCAAATGCAGAAGTGCTGAGAAAAAACATTCCCATTTTCTTCATTTTTCTTCATTTTATTCAATTCACTGTCTGTGTGTATAGCACCTAGAACTAGGATGTCTGTACGCTGCACCACACTGCAGATAACAAGGAAGACATCTTGAAATTCTCACACTAAGAAATGCATTACAACACAGATTTCCTCTCTGTCCTGCTTTCAGCATAGTGAATGGAAATAGATAACCATATTCCCCTGTAGGAAATAAGGAAAAAGAAAAAGCTAAAGTTAAAACTGTAGATGAAATACATCTCTTAGGCTGATGACTCAGTGCATGATAGCACTCTGATCTTATCAATAAGAAAACAGTTTGACTTCAGTCTTTTTGTCTGGGCCAGGATCATAACAATATTCTAATCTAAATGGTGCTATTCTAAACTCAAGTATTATTTATTCTCAGCCTTTACTATTCTGTTTCAATGAGATGCAAAGATTGCATCTCATTAACTAAAAGAGGAGAAACCTTTTTTTAACAGCATGAAGATGGTAGCTCTGCAACCAAGGGTAGCACTCAAAACACCAAATGTACTTAAGAGATGTAATGTGGCAAGGAAACTTTCCATGCATTCAATGCAAGATGACAGCACACAGATAAAATACTAATCCCTTGTTATCAGCTGTAGGTACAAGACTAAATGCAGTTGTCAGAAAATCTCAGCAGAAATTGGCAGGACTAAGAATAGGTTCATTTAGGGTCCTGCTTTCATTTGCATAAGCATTTCAGAAAGTTCTCTTTCTGAAGAAAGTCTTGCTTTCCAGCAAAATATAAGCAATTAAATGTAGTCATATATTAGTATTGTTTGAAGACTAGAACATCAAAAGTATTTGACCACTAACATCTGCTGATTTCAAGGAAAGGCAGTCCAGCATCTTAGTAGATGGAGAAGTATGAATCCTTCTGAATCCAATAAATCTGTCCCATCCATATGTCTCTGTCCTGGCAGTTAAGATGATGTAGGAAAAGATGTTGAGTTTTTAAATGATATTTTAACTCCTTGCTTTTTCTGTTAAAGGACAATAAGTTTTTTTAAAATCTCTTAAGGTATACTGTTACTGAGGGAGAATTCACATTCAGTATCCATGTTGGGTATTCTAAGTATATTCTTTGTTTATTACCTGTGTTCAGAGGTTAGCAGTGCATTGCTGTTACTGTTATACAAACCAGAAAACAACATGTATCAATCAGTCTCTGCCTCAGGACGCATACAAGCTGAAGAGAATCATCTGAATATGCTTTACAGGTGCATGCACTCTTACTATTTAGTATTTGGTCACAGCAGATGCCCCCTAATTCAGGTGAGCACATGAACTATAAAAGCAGATTACATCTACATGTGCTTCTCAAGTCACCTGCACAATGGACATCACTGCACCAGCTGTTCATCAACCCTGAATGGAAGGTAAAGAAATGCTGGAGTCTGCTTCACAATTTCAGACTAGTAATTATACTGGGTGTTTACCAGGATGGGAAATGCTCCTCCAGTAAGCAAACTCAGCACTTCTGTACTTACCGTGCAATATCATGGCTTTTGTGGTGGGGAGGCCTGCAAACAATCTGGTGCTTTCAACCCAGCTTGAAAAGTAGAGCAGCATGTGTTTTTCACAGCAACATGCTCTCCCTGTTACCTGGCAAGATGACTGAAATCTCCTATGTTTCATTGCTTTCATGTGCAAAACGTGATGAATTAGTAATGGCAATACCCAAAAAACTTCCTTCAGCAATGTTGGCAAAAGGCTACTCAAAAACATATTTTAAAGGAACCTTTAACAGTAACTGTGTATAGGCAAAGATAACCATAGGCAAAGAATGGAGCTGGAGCTCCAAAGAGCTCAATCCACTGCCTCTTAGGAAACCAGAGAAACAGCATTCTCTCTCTGCATCTCACAGTTTCTCCACCTGCAGAACGTAAGTAAGAGTACCAAGTTTCACTTATAAAGCACTTTGCCTGAAGGCTAAAAAAGTTATCTTAATCTTGGCTTGTAAGTATAGCATTTTTTCAGAAGCACACTTTATCCGCCCTCTCTAACTTCCATCCCTTTATTTTCAAAGGTTTTCCTACTGTTTTAACATTATTTAACATTAATTTAACATTAGTGATCTCAGTCTAGGAGAGATAATTAAAATGAGCAACAGAAACACAGGTCTTCATTTAGAGACATAATCTGTTTAATAAATATGACTGTAAAAGCAATAAACGATAGCAATTATACATTACGCTACATTGTATTTAACGAAAGGGAAAAAGAAGATGAAAAAATACATCAAAAAAAAGTAATTTTAAAATTAGAAATAGTTCCAACACTATAAGAAAACTTTTTGATTGGCTTACTATAAAAATAAGTTGGCTAATGTTGGACTTCACTGGGGAATATTATACAGTTGCTACCAAAACTTTCCCATCTTTCTTAAAGCTGTAGTTGCAAACACAATAGCAAAGCCATACAAATTGCTGTGTTTTTAGCTGTTTGAGAGAGACTGCAGAAAGTGGCAGAGAACTTCCAACTGTGATCATCCTTTGCCTACTGTGGGTCTGATGGGTGCTCTTACATTTGGTATAACTTTTTATTTATTTATTTGCCAGCTAGTAGGTTGAGTGGTATTGATATCCAATTTGTGACAGAGAAATTCAAAGTCATCCCTCCCCAGCTCCAGGACCCCAGTCAATGCCAAGAATGTCCCTTTTCCCCATATTTGACAAAGATTGCCTTGAGCAACATCTACTGAACAAAACACATTCATATCAAGAATCAGGTTGCATCCTAATCATGCTACACCAATTATGAACCAGGTGGCACTGGCTTTCACCTAGCATAGCTAATAAATGTATGTTGGCAACTGTATTTCTTTCTTTGCGCTTCGAGCCAAAATCTTATTTCTGAGTTTACCTGAGTGGTGTTGTAAATCAGCAATTGTGATGATTATGGGATAGGCTTCAGCCAGATACCTGGTGCTGTGGTCTTGTTTGAGGTGTGCTAAGTGTGCTTTCCCTGTTCTTTTTTGTAGCCAACATGCATGGGTCCTGAAGTCACATTTCCAGTTGCAATGTAAGGCACCACTTATATTAGTGGTAAGAACTTGTACAACAACTGTCCTGCGGTGCTAGGGCTCAAAATGTATGGGAACATGCTCAAGCCAAATCCAGCTTTGCTCTCCCCTTTTCCACCTCAAACAACAGTAGTTTGCAGAAAACAAATGGGTTTTCCAGGAAAGGCATGAGAAACTGCAAACAGACTGTTCCCTGTTATGTAGACAAAGTGTCTTTCAGATAAATGGCAGGCCTTGGGGTGACTCCCAAAAGGTAGAGATCTCCTGGACTTCTGCAGGCAACTTCCAAGATCAACAATAAAAGCGGTTGAGGGTGTTACTAGGCTTTATCTTAGTCAAAATTTAAGTTGTAAGGCTGGTACAAAATGCAGTGTAAGTTCATGCTGGCAATACAGACCTCCCTGCCTGCAATGCATCCTAGTTCTGTTCAGCCCAAGGTTGGGAGGCAGAAAGTTATTTCCAAACAGTGCTCTCAAAGGGGTGCCTTGGTGTGAGTAGGCTAAAAAGCTGTTTAATAAGGAGGAGCCTGGCTTTGCGGTTGGGATTGCCTGAGCTCATACTCAGTTTCTGTGCAACTGTGGGGCGCAGGCAGCAGCTGCAGCTAGAGAAATGAAGGGCAAAGTTCAAATTAAGACATAAACCAGACTGACCCAAGATTTTCAGTGCCTTTAAACTCCAGTGTGATTTCTCTTGTGTCCTATGAAAGTCTGCTGGGGCGGCTAGCCCTCCCACGGCCTCAAAGTGCTAAAATTGAGCAGTTAAATCTAAAGCCAAGAACCCTAGACGCTCCCTCCCACCTCCCCAACCCTTCTCCCCCCACATCTCAGCCCACCCATCTCCCTAAAGAAGAGACCCCCATGCATATTCTTGGCCTATATTATGAATTTTCTACAAATTAGAGACAGATCAGAAGAAAAGAGAGTGGAGGAGTGACGGGAAGGGCTTCAGGGGTGAATAGTGATATCAGTTCCTCCCCCCACCCCCACCCCCCACTAAAATTGAACACCTGTACAATGCAGTTCTGCTATGGTCTCAGTATAATGTCCACATGCACAGGCTTAAAGCTAAAAACCCTTTGTCATCTGAAGAATTAAAAAGTCCAAATGCAATGAGTTCTCTTTTTTTTCTCCAATATAGATATATATCGATGTCCTCAATTCAACCATTTACATAGGTAGGGATTTCTTTTGTGCTCTGGGGCTCAGCAGCTGTGGAAATACTTCCTGTGGCAAAGAGAGAACAACATAAGAGTCAGCAAATAATTATTGTGTTTTGTTGAAGATGTCTGAAGGTGAAACCTTGCTGGCCTTTGGGATTGAACAGCTCCAGACTGATACGTTCTTCTCACAAATGTTTTCTCGTCATTCAAAACACTGAAGGTGATGTACTGTTCTTTTGCTAATGAAGATGATTCACCCATGTAGAATAGAAGAGGGAGTGGCCAGAGCAGAGAGGTGGAGGGAAGGAGGGGCTGAGGTCCTCAGTGGAAAAGCATAACTCATTTGCAATTAGAAGGTATTAGAAATTTCATAAATAACCTTAAGCTTTGCCTTTGCAAAAGAAGAGCCTAAACTACTCACACCCAGAAAATAGGAACTGTGTTTTTTGCTGCCAGTGTTTGGAGAGAAAATTAAATGATCCAGGGATGTTCATTTACATTCCTCCAAGGAAGGGTGTCTGAACGTTAGTCAAACGAGTTGGAAAAAAAACTAGCTTCTGAACAAGCATATGAAAGAGAAACACCCAATTGCAGTATTGTTTGGTTTTCCCAAAAGAAGGAAAACTCATTAAAAAAGAAATTGCTGATTTACAAAAACACATGAAGTGATTGTATACAAGTGTAAAGAGCCTTTGCACTTTATTCTATTCACATCTATGTCCAGACCTTCTCATTTTGTCAGTGATCTCTGATTTAGTTTCCACATTTGTCCTACTGCCAGAAGGGGAAAAAACACTCCTAAGAAGTTTGTTGGAAGGATTTCTTTTGATGGAGAATTGAGACTATCTGTCCCTTTTGTGCTTACTATTGTAGTTACAGGTGAAACCCAAGGAGGAATAAAAGGCCAATTTCTGGTTCAATACAGTGATCAGCAGTGCAGGGCACAGCTCTGAAATCCACAGAATGCTAGCTATTGTAGAAAGCCAAAAATGCTACAGTTGTACCAAATGAAAACCAAACCCCCAAATTGGCTTTTGAGTTCTGTAATCCCAAAGGCTTCAAGAGATTAATTCCCAACATCAGCAAGAGTAGAGCTAGTGGCTGGCTGACTGTTGTCTCTTCAGTCTGAATGACCTCTGAAAACGTTTGCTACTCTCTGCCAACAGTGGAAATCATCATCATTACATTCCTTTAGAAAGAGGAATCTAAAAGCTCAACTAACTCTGGGAACTGGGTTCCTGGCCTGAAATTGGGTGTTTCTCCCTTAGCAACTTAGACCAATTTTGGAGCTTCCAGGATAAAAACAGAGGGGGAGAAAAAAAAAAAAAAAAAGAAAGAAAGAATAATTGTTAAAATTTAGGACCCACCGCTCCGGGTCTTTGCTTGAAACCTCTTGGTGATCCACAAGCCTTTTGGAAGTCCTCTGTCCAGACTACCTTGGCTGCATTTCCTTTCCTTGGGTTCTGGACTGTGGCCTGAGGTTGCTCTGTATGGGGAACACCACATGGGAAGGTTGGTTCCCTCACTCCATCCTGTGTACTGCTAAGCAGGGATATCCAGGTCTGCTGATGGATAGCTGCTAAAAAGCTTTTAATAGCTACCAGATCTCCTCTTGGTGAATGTGTGACAAGAGATCACTACTGATTGCACTGGAGCTTCCAATTTAGACATCAATTTCATCAAGAGATTTTCTTCTTTTTCCTCCCAAGATGTTTCACAGGCCATAATCTTAGCACATCATATTTCCTCTTTTAATTGCCCTTCCCCTTTCTGTCTCTCCATGGTAGCTAAAACATCAAACCTGCTTTAGCAAACTCCCACACAATTTTGGGTCTTCCTTGGGTGGGATCTAACACTTGGTTAAGTGGATGAAATTGTGAAAATAAAATATCTTAGTTATGACTATGCATCAGTTCTATCTCAGTAAGAAGAACTGTACATTTTATGAGTAATTCATCTAAAGCAGATCTGTGTTCTTATTTGCTGGAGTCCTGTACTGTTCCCGTGGTCTGGGCCTGCAGAGCTTTCCCCTTACAAATGAAGCTGAACAATGCCCAAGCAATTCCTAAGCAATTTTGGCTTTAGAAGAATATACCCCCAGAATGAAACCTTCCTGCTTCATCCCAACACTTTATTCAGAATAATGTGATAACGTAAGCATGAGCAAATGGGTGACTGAACACAGCATGATCACCTCAGTACTGTTCACTTTAAATCCTAATGTTAATTTTTCAACCAGAATCATGTGGGAGCAATCAGCCTGAGGGAAAACCCAGTAGCCCAGTGCTGAGATCCCAGGTTGTGCTCTATTTCCCTGAGAATCACACAGGCCACAGCAGTGAAAACGTGAACGAATACTTAACTTTTAGATTTGACTTACCGAATCACCTGCTCACCTCCATGCTCCAGGTGAGGGTGGCTGAAGTTCTCCTGGACAGGACTCGGGTGTGAGTTGTAGCCCCATAACAACATCAGCCCCAGCAAAATAAATTAAATTGCCTTATAGCGCAAGTTAAGTGCAGCAGGGTTTTTGAGAAGGGAAGAGGATCTACACAGCAACTAGGAGAGGGAAAAAGCCTAAAGTTGTTTCTCTCCCTTTCACAGGGCAGTGAGGGAGAGGGGAGAGTTAGCAAGGTTTCCTGTAGCAAAGCTAACACTGCAGCAGAAGAGGATGGCGGGAGGAGTGTGCAGGGAGATGGGAAAGGGGAAGACTGAGAAAAGGGTTAGCCAATTATCAGTCAGAGTCTGACCAACTGCGGGTTGCTGCAAGTTATTTACCTATGGGCTGGACATCCAACTTCTCATCTACTAGTTGTTCAGGGCTCATCAGCTCACTTTGAGGGACATTAGGTATGCTTTCCCTCTGACTGACTGGACTGACCATCTCTTGATCTTTTTCATTCTGCATCTGTGCATATATATTAAGGCCAGGAATCTTCCTAAAACATTAACAAAAACCATCATTGGGGGGTACTCTGGCAGATGATGTAGCATTAGCTTTTGCAAACCAAGAAACAAATCACTGTGAAAAGGGAAGCCCAGCAAATAAATCCCCGGCAGCAGTGGGGAGAAACAGATGGCCCAGGGAAGGTCATACCTTTTGAATTTGTAGATTACAAACACAGCTAGTCCCACGAAAACGACAGAGAGGAGCATCAACATTGCTGAACCACTGTGACTGGGAGTGAGGTCCACCAGGGGAGCTGCAAGAGAGGGAGATAAGGTTAGAGTCACCTCCAGCCTGGAGGGAAAAGTTCTCTCTCCAAAAATGTACTTAATTCTCTCCTATGGCATTTATAAGCATCTCATCTGTCCACCTGTCTTCAGGGCTCCTTTCTCTTTCCAATACAGCTGGGAAGAAACCTGGGTTCAGACTAGGTGTTGTACTCAGTCTAAGCCCTAAAGGCACCATAGCTTTCTCTTTAGAGGCCTCTTCTCTCTGGCACTTTATAGAATAAAGTCTGAAAAATACCCTCTTATGTTGCAGGCAGTTACTGAAGGTAGTTGCAAATGAGGTCACTAGAGTACCAAACCCAGACTTTCTGAAGGATTCTGGAGCTACCCATGGGTTACCTTGTCATGTTGACTTTCTATTTTGCCTGGAGCTAGTCTGGGTAGCTCTCAATGCCTGCTGAATAATGAGCAACTGGTTACTGGATTTTTCTGAAGCAAGTGTCCCAGTACCAAATGTATTGCTCTCTGCTCAATCCTCTTTCTTCACAATCAGGAGGCTGGTGCCCTTCACAAACATTGCCTCAGCATCCAAGCCTTACCATGGCAAGCTCTTCTCACACCTCTGACATATTCAGTTTCTTTGTCTATCCCTTTCCTATTCCTTGGAACACTTCTCTCTTTCTCTCATGCCCTGTTCTCTCTCCCACAAGTCATCTTTGCAAGGAAGTGCAAAGGTTCAAGAAAAAGAAATAGAAAATAAAAATTCTTAATCAAACGAGAAGTCTCCCAGTGCTTCTCTTTAGAGTTTTGCAGCACCTTTTCATAGCCCCTTGCAAAATAAGGCCACACAAAACATCCAGAAGTGTGCTTTCCCAGAAATACAAAGTAAACAATATTAAAAAGAGGCAGTTTCTATCGCTCAAATAACACACACAAACAGAAAGACTCCAGCAGCAGTGTTGCACATACGCAAGCTTTCAGCAATCATACCCAGCCTATGAACCAGATTTTATCAGAAGTGGAAAAACCTCCTGCATCCTGCAGGCTGTGCTCAGGAAGCTGAGGCATCTATTGCTATGAATCCTTCATACATCTGAACTGTGTGTGTGTTTCTACTGTGTGGCTCACTGCAGTTCTGTAGAATGGTGAAGTGGCTCTCTGACTGATTCCAGCGCCACTCAATCTTCTTGTTCTAATCTTGCACTCAGAACCTTGCCATAAACAACCATTGAACTGCTTTGTGAGGAATGCTGGCACATTTTATTCTTCCTTAGAACTGGGGTTGTTGTTCACTGAGCTGGGGACATTGTTTTAATTTTTTTTCATGAGAGGCAGAAATGAACGAGATGAATGGATTGCAATCTGTTGTCCAGAATTGCCATGAATTAATCCTTCCTCCAGTGTGGCCTGAACAAAGAACACAGAGGCGTGAAACGTGCTGAGCCCAACGCCTGTCATTCTTCTGTGTCCCTTGGAAGGCATGTGTTTAAATGCAACATGCACAAAGAGGCTCATTTCTGCACATTCTGCTTGAATGTCCAAACCAAATTAATTTAGATATTTGCACTTTTGTTCTCTGCAGCTTCTCTGATGCTGAGATTTCTGCTGTGTATGACCAGGTACACACACAAGGAGCAACATGTGTGCACTGAGAAACGGGGATGCATTTACATACAAGTTTGTCTGGACAATGCTCTCAGACATGTGGTCTGATTATTGAGTGGCCCTGTGAAGAGCCAGGAATTGCACTCCATGTTCCTTCTGGGTCCCTTCCAACTCAAGCTATCCTACGATTATATGATTCCATAATACACATATGTACACATGCACTTACAAAAACACTTGATGAGCTGTGGGGTTCAATCCACACAGAACCCATAATTGTCAGGATTCCAACACAAAGTAAAACTGGAAATAGGATTCTACAGTCCAGAGCTGCATCTCTCAGCCATGTGAATCCCCCTGGGTTGTGTTTCCCAGGGACTGCTTCTGTTCCGGTCCTGCCTTGCTTGAACCCCGCTTTATCTTAGTTTTTTTAAAAGCTTGAATTTCAAAAGCAGAATTCTTCTTCCTTAACAGTGCAAACAAGAGCTTTCAGCAGCAAAGCAAATCTCTTTTTTGGCGTTTTGTCAAATTCTAATCTATTCCCCAGTTTTGATGTCACAAAAGTGGGCTTTTTACTTAGGAAGTTGAACCATGACATCAGCAACATGATAAGGGACAATATTCCCTCAAAGACTCTACAGTAGCTGCTCTTTGGGCTTTTTAATATCTAATTTGGCAATCCAGGCTTATTTTGCATTCTTGCTGAATCATATTTCTGCAAGAGACAAAATCCTTTGACATTCCTTATAGGACATTGTGAATTGTTACAGCAATCACTCACATCTCACTGATAGCTTAGAAGGGAAGAAAACAAAACCTACCTGACAGCACAAATGACTGTATGCATCTATTACAGACAAAAAGTATTCATTCCTGGTGTGTGCATAAACATAAAGATATACATTTTCAGCAAGCACAAAGATCCTATATTTATGCAGCACATCTAAACTGAGCAGTCTCTGTTACACAGTAGAGCAGTGTGCCACACTATAGACCCTGCCTTTTGGTTCATACAGGGCAGAACACAAGGCTTTGTAGCCCAGGAGAAAAGCTGTCAGTACCTGTGCTAACTGGCTTTGGACTGGAGCTGCCCAGCTTTTAGGCAACTCTGCACACTCAAGCAGAGATATCCCAGATTCCTCTCCAAGGAGGTGCAGAAGGCTCCTACACACAGCACAAAATTTGGATTAAATTCAAATGGATGAGATTCACCCTGTATGAAAGATGAGGCTGGAGACATGATTTTAAGCATCATGTTTCCACTGCATGAAATGCAGTATGTCCCTGCAGTAGCAGAAGGTAAAGAGGAGCCTTAACCACGTATATCTGAGGCAATTCTTTCCAACTACAATTTATTAGAAAAGGCTTATAGGATCTTCAGGGCTAGATGAGTCATTTCTAAATGCTGATGTGGGATTTGATCCTGACTTTAATGAACATCAGTCAAAAAGCAAAACAGCAATGTGCACAAGCAGAGTAAACACACAGGAACAAATTACAAAAACAGTGAGCAATTTCAGGTAACTCCATGTTGCAAGCTCACATTCAGATACTTTCAGACAGTTTTCCTGGAATTCCAAGATGAACACTGAGCATTTTCTGAAAGAACATATTGTATCACTGGCCAGTGTAGAACATTCAGGACAAGGATTGCTTCATTGGCCAAAAAATGCATACAGATTTAAATCTTAAACATAGAGTTATTAGAGTTATACAATTCTTATGTCATATGTCTATGAACATTTTTTTACAATCTACAAAATAGAGAACAGTCAAACTGACTGTCCAAGATGTTTTTTTGTTTATTATTATTTTTATTATTATTATATTCTTAACAGATTAATCAGCTGTGCTATATCTTTGCTTTTCTATGCCTTTGGTTCTAACTTGTCTAAAAGCTAACATCGCTCATATGTTCCACATCTAGAGGAAAGAAGAAACAGGCAGCAATATTCCCAGCACAGATATTAGCAAGTTCTGCTTAGAAAACACGAAGTATTGCTAACACCAAGGCTTTCTTCTAGGAGGATGTAAATGCAGTCATACCACACTTCTTTTTAAAGTCTCTTTTTCCTCCCTTTTGTTGACAGGGCAGCACATGGACTCACACCACCTTGGCCAGACCTGTTCATACCACGAACAGCATTTTGTAGAGCAGATCACTAGTATGAGTGAATTGAGGCTTTTTATTTGCATGTTAGCAGCCGAAGTTGATCAGAATTATGATTTTTATCCAGCAAATCCACCAGAAAAGGAATTCCTAAAATACTGAGCATGGATTTATACATCCCATCTCCTACAATAATTAAATAGGAACTGTACTGTGAAATGAGGGTTTTCTATACAGAATACGCAGAGACGTGTAATTAAATATCAAGACTTCAAAGCTGGTTTATTTTGAGATAGGATTAGTTACAGGGCAAACTGCCTAAGCGTGTGTATGTGCATATGTAAACTGACTCTTTCAGACTGCTGAACAGCTTTTTAACTGTGCTTTGCTGCTGTGATTGTTCATTTGCACCAGATTATCAGAAAATGTTCAGCACTTGCTGGTGAACTTTGCACTCTGTGATCCAGGCTGAATATACCATGGTGCTCCTTAGCTGTTGAATATTTCAAAGACAGCCAAAAAGTACATACGTCTACTGCTGGCATTATAAATTTATAAATAAATTATTTATAAATTATTATTTATAAATTTATAAATGCCACTATAATTTTTGATGTGACAAAGAACAGAGGATTGGAGTGGGCATTTTAATTCTGCTCACACGCTGAGTTCTGCTTGCTTATCAACAGTGAGTGTGTACTAAGAAAGAGGACACCCACCTGCTGTTAAATGAGCAGCATGGACAAGGACTCGAACCCCTGGCTTCAACTCAAAATGGACGAAGTTTTGGTTCAGTTTCTGGATCAGTATTTCTGAAATCTGGAAGTTAGAAGAAAATAAGAAATGCTTTTTTTTTTTTTTTCCTTATGGTCATCTTATATTGCTAACAGGTGAGTAGGAAATGGAGCTATATGCTAAGCAAAGATTTTGCAAAGGCACTGGACTTTCTGAATACAAATTCCTATCACCTCATAAAAAGATGTTTCATGAAGGCTGAACACATCCCCATGTACTATGTCCAGAGTGTTATGTGGATGGCCAGCAATGACTGATACAAACAAATTCTCCCCTCACACTCCTCTAGGAGCAGCCCAGCTGCAAATAGAGATTGAGCCCCAAAACAACATTACACCAGATGGAGTGCCTGTAGGACCATCCCACATCAGTACATAGCAAAAATAAGCATTTCAATTGTTAGCATACCTCTGCTCAAAACAAAGAAAATATTAAGTGGTCAGCTTTAGTTTCTTACAGCACGTTCCCAACACACCTGGATCAAAATGAAGGGTTTAGTTTCTTACCCAGCTTGCACTGAATTTCAAGTCCTAGAAACAAACTGAATTTCATTCAACCCTAAGTTTCAGGCCAGCTGGTCTCTGATTCCAAAAACATATCAGGAATAGTTTGAAGCTCTGATAATGTCTATGCTGTTGACTGAATATGAGGTGTATTTGTCTTACACAAAATGTACATTACGTCTATTCTTCTGGTATTCACAGAGAGAATGTGCTTTTATCCTCTACTTCATGGAAGAAAACTCCCACAGAACATTTATTTCCCTCAATTTTCTTTCTATAATTGTGATGAAAACAAGAAGAGCTCTAGCAGAAAAACAAAGCAAGTTATTCCACCCTAAAGGATGCAACAGAAGAGATGAGCATTTGCTAAGATAAAACTGTCTGGAACCTGTATTTGTAGAGTCAGAAGTCCAGCTTTGGTCCAGTCTGTTGGTATACACTGCTTTTTAAAATCAGTTTCTCATACCGTGCACACATAGCTGCTTTCTCTATTTTAATTTTCAATTGTGTACAGGAATTTTCAGATACGTTGCTATTAAAAGCAAAATTCCTGATAGATTAATCAAGGAATGGAAACCCATAGACATACTTTTGATAGTTTCCTTGTCTTCTGTATGTTGATTCTCTAGATGTTTCATGTTTCATTTTTTCTTACAGCAGTAAGCAATTTTCCAGTGGATGATGCCCACTCTTTTGCATGTGGATGTATGAGGGAGAAGTGGCTGGAAAATGCCAAAAAAATTCCATCCTGCATCCCTTATGCAATTGCAGAGAATGCTGTGTTTTTACAGCCATGCCAAGATAAAGAGGAATTGTACAGTAATGCTCAACACTTAATTTGTTTTAAATAACTCCTTATTCCTTCTTGAAGATTAATGAAAAATTGTCAGAAAAAAAGAACATTCCAATATTTTTTAAACCATCCTTTTCATGTTCTTCATTTTTGTCTGGTTGAGCTATTTCAGTAAATCTACCCTGATATGATTAGATGTTCCTTGGCTATCATTCATCACAGTATGAGATTTATCTGCTGCTTCTATTTTTTTAATGTTCTTAATGGTTCTTTCAATTCTCTTGGCTTCTATACTTCATTTTTGGCTGCTGATCACTTGAATAGGTGCCTTTGGTCCAATATCAATTTGGCAATAACTCTTACATGCATTTTATTTATATTTTTAATATATCTCTTTAAAGTTTACTTTTTTTTTTTTTTTTCCATGGGTGCCAGAATGAGTAAATATATTTCTTCCAACAGTAAGAAAAAATACCACCTGCTCACAAAGAGCCATCTGGTAAGCTCAGAGCAGCAGGGATGGTGACATAAAGCTGTGCTGTATGTGAAGAAAGCCTGGGAAGCAAATTATATCCCTCTTTAAGAATTTGAGCATATTAATAACCAAGACTGACAACTAAAGAGCACTTCATCTCTAAAACTGGAGCAACAGATGCAGATGGAATGCTGTAAACCAGGTACATAATGACACATGGAATCTAACTAAAAAGGAAGGTCTGTACATGTGATGAATAACAGAACGCAGCTAGCAAGTGTTATTACCTACTACAGGCCTCATCAGGAATTTGGGCAAGGAATAGAAGAATAGGAGAACCTAGAGAAAGTCAGCATGAGAAGGGGCAGTGAGTTTGTTTTGCACCAGTGATGTGTAGAAATGTGTAAAAAGACCTCTTCTGGCCTGGCTAAAGAGTCCTACAGCAGGATGAGGAGGATGGAATGGTGGCACCCACAGGGATGCTATAGCTGCAGGGTGCTGTGGCAGCCTCCTGGTTCGCAGGCTGTGTGTGTGAGACAAAGGCCAACAAATGTTCTCAGCTGGTAATATGATGTAAGAGTTAATAGGAAAAAGAGAAGTTGTAATAGTGAAGTTGTAAGAAAAATGAATAAAGGAAGAGTGAAACAGTCACAAATGAAGTTTATTGTCATTGTACTGCACTGTTACCTTGTTGTAAATGAGGATCTCATTGTACAAATGTAACTCAGAAAAAGATGATTTCTGCCTTAAGTCATCAGCATTTCTGCCGTCAGTGTTACAGGACTATATGCAGAGTCAAAACAGGCAGCAACCCTTCATGCTGCTTAGAGTCTACCACATATTTCCTGGGCTTAATTCAGAGTGCAGCTTTTTACTTCTATTGGGTCTTTATGAATTCTGAACAAATCTGAAAATGAATAACAGTCCAAGACCTTAAAAAGCACTGGAAAATCTTTTAAGAGTCAGACATATGCCTTCCTTACACTAGGAAGAAAAAGTGTATTTGGATATGTTTTTAAAATGTTTGTTCATTTGGTACAATATTTTAATTTTCCTTTCTATGGGAAGTAAGATTGTCCATGAGACATACATATATAGAAAAAGAAGAGCAAATAATAAATTTATTTCCATACAACTAAAATAATCTGAAATATAAACCATTTGATCTGGCTTATAAAATTCATTATTTGAGCAGGTGCACACAGTTAAAAGGCCAGCTTCACATTGGGATTGGACACAGTACTCAAGAGAAAGTAAGTAAGTTGGTGCTGATGTTGTTTCTGGTCCTCACACAGTCTCAGAAGGATCTATGAAGTGTAGACACACGCTCAGACTGGAGAAGCAAAATTTATGCCATTCTTATTCTATCAAGTCTGTTTCTAGCTCAGAGGATCACAGGTGAGTAGACTTTAACCTAGGTGTGGTTCTGACTCTCATGATTTGTGTTGAACAAAACATGTTTGAAGTAATTCTCCTCACAAAGGCTGATCTCACGCTTACTGAAGTAATAAGATGGTTTCAGCAGAAAACAGGGCCTTTTGCCTGCCTTGATGTCTGCATTTAAAGTGGCACCATGGAAACATTTTTGTTCAAAAAGCAAATAAGGAAACGTCACAATACTTTTGCCTATTTATTTAGTGAATATCTACATAACTAACTGAACAGCTAGGTGTTCAACTGGGGAGCAGGTTAGCATTCCTGTTCCTCTCTCACTCAGATGTAACTAACTCAGCTCAAGATGTAACATCTTAGAATAGCAACCTTCTAATTTATAGTCTTGAAGAGTCTCCCTTGTGAAAATAATTAGCTTTCAGAATTAGTTTTGGTCCTTAACTGAGCCTCATTGACTTTATCTGCTTCATTTGCAGAATTAAGCATGATGTGCAAAAATAATTCAGTAATAGAAACCATTCTTCATGTATCATTTTTCATCAAAGGACACATAATGAATAATAATAACAGACAATTTGTGAAGGAAAAGAGATTCCAATTTAAAAATTGAACAAAACAAAAATTAATTTGGCTTCTCTTAGCATTTTGTCAAAGTTAGGACTATGAAGGAACTGTGTGAACCAAGAAACAGAATTATCACTCCTAAGAGCACTTTTGCATTTATTTATCATATTTTAAAATCTCTGGTTTAAATTGGTTTACACTAATTGAATGTGATTCAAATGTGCTAGTGTGTCCCAGTTAAGAATCTAGATTATTTTTAAAGATAATGTATAAGGATTTCAACTAATGAGTGGCACAGTTCTGTTCAATTCATTGGCTAAATCAATAAACAGCTAAGGAAAGAATTATGCACATTGATTGGTAGGAAGCAACTTGAACTGGTAGTAAAAAAGCGAAACAGGAGTCAGGGCAAACATACATTACATTAAACTGTACCACTCACCCTAAGAAAACTTATTTAATTCACACGAGGCCTCTCAGCCTCTCTTATCTTAGCTCTGAAAAGACCAAAGTCGCTGACTTACTTGGGTCAAGCAGAAACTTCTTAGGTTCTTTGATGAAAGATGCAAAAATCAGGCTGCCATAGTATTGAGAAATACCATAAGAGCACAAGGTGGAGAACATGTCTGTAGTTAGTCTGGGACAAGAACTGATCAGCAGATACAAACCTAGACAGACCCTAGAAATATGAACAAGTATACACTATAGCTAAACAAAGGTGACTGGGAGTTTTGAAAATCCAGGTCTGCTCTGCATATTAAGCAAGAATGAGGAGCTGAGAAGTCTGATAGTCACGTGGCAGAAGTTAGTTGAATGGCATTGTAGCGGGAATGTGGAGTCACAGCCCAAAGCAGTGATTGAGCACCTGGTGGAAAGGCAGGGCCAATCCAGGGAAGCTCAGGTGCATGCAGTGTACCTGAGTGACTGGAAGGGGTGGAGCCAGGATCCGACCCTTCCCAGACCTTATTTGAGGGCTGGCAGTGGAAGCAAGGGTATCTGTATGGTAATCCCTGCATGCCTGAGGCTTTTTGGAGGCAAGCAAATTTTATTTCTCTGTTTTTGCATCTACAGCTACTGTATTTGTGCTTGTCCTCAGTTGCTCCAGCATAGGACTTTGCTACTCTACTGTTATTGCTGTACCTTCCCTCATGTTATAGTATTATAGGCATAAAGAAAATATACAGATAATGTATTTTATGACACACAAGCAGCTGATCAAGAAAAGCTAGCTAAAGAGAGAAAAACAAGAAAATGTTCATATTATTCTTTTTTCTTCCCATTTTTCTTTACTTCTTAGTTGCCAGGCTTTCCTCAAGCAGCAAAGCTGCAAATGTTGAAGAGAATTTTTTTCTAGTAAACTTTAGATATTTGCTCCTTTTCTTCCGAGACTTTAATTTCTGGGATTGATTTGCACCTTTTTCTGTAGGCTCTGAAATTTTTCACTTAATTATCACCTTGCTAAAATACTATTGTGATTAACTTATCTGAATTACATGAGAGGAAAGAAGAGTAATAAGAACAAATATGCTAAAACATTAAAGTCTAAGAAAGGAGTTCAGAACCCAGCACAAATAAAGATAGAAGATATGTCACATACAGTGAAGCAGAAATAAACCTAAAGCTGCTTTAAGGAGCAAATCCTAAGATTATAAGCATGCAGACTTGTGGGCAGTAGCTTCCATAGTGTTAGAGGTATTTTGCTTTCTTATTTCATCACTGTCTATTTGATACTCAGTCATCTATGTCATTTCCCATCTTTTTGGTTGGGTACAGATAGTGGTCACAGCTGCAATATGTTGATCACCGTTGGCAACTAACCAGTTGGTGATGCCATTTGCCAAAGACTCCATCATGCTTTCTACATTGCTGATAGCTCTTTTCAGAGATAAGATTAATGGCTTCAAATGTCATTAGGTAGTTGCTCTTGCATCTTGTTTACATTCTGCTTTTACAGTTAATTTGAATAGACTAGGTAAATGGAGAACAGGAAAACATGGAAACCTTTTCTTGATATGAAAATATCTCTTTAGAGTTCTCATATATGTCCTGCTTACATTTGACTTATCAAGAGATACACTTCCTGTATTTCACAAAAAGTCTGCATTATATAATATGGAAAAAAAACACCTGCATAGTTATAAACATAACCCTTCAGAATCCTCATACAAAGTAAAAACATACACTGAAACAACTGAGTGATTGTGTCTGTACCACTGCCCTCTATTGAATTTTAAGTAGAATATTCTTCTTCCTACTGTGCATTCATTTTGAGTTGGGTTAGTGCTAAAAGTACTAAAAAAAATTACTTAAAATGCTTCTATTTAAAGGTCTACCTTTCACAGAAGAAGAAAAATTCTATGCTTTTGAATCCAGCATATGTGAATTCTGTAATCATCACATTCGCCTAGCCTGTCCATAAAGACAGTCTTAACAATTGCATTCCAGACCAATTGGCCAATGGTTATTTTCAGTGGCTCTTTTTGCAAGGTATTTTAGAAGCGTTGCAGTGACAACAAGGGCATGAAGCAGCAGCATTTTAATAACTGTCAATTATTTCTCCATTTCTAAGCAGGTTTCTGTCTCACCTGCTGGAAAACAAAGCAGGTGAACCAGTCCTGTAATTTAAGAGGGGGAAAAAGGAGAGGGGGGGGAAAAAAAAGGCAAACTTATAGCATTCTGATCATGAATACAAGATTGTTTTGTTGTGTGCAAAATGTTTGGGAATTCAACAGGATGAAACCACTTCTTCATTTCTATAAAACTGTGAAGAATAAGTTTATATTGATTATAGAAAGTAGAGTGGACAAAGTAATCTGAGATCATCACACAATCTGCATTTGTGTTAGATAGAATTGTCCTATATTGTACACTGAGAAAGTGTCTTCTAGTCTCATGCATAACATTTTTCACCTATCAAGAATGGATACTAATTTAAAGGGATTTTATTTTCCTGTGGGAAGTATCTGGAATGCAGATTTCAATTTTGTGACTGTAACCTGTGAAGAAATATGACACCAATTAGTACTTGTATGGGAAATGTAAGTCATGGCCTGAACCAGGGATTGAGCACCCTGAGAAGGGGCAAGGCCAGCCCTAACAGCACCAGTGGAAGCAATTCACCTGTGCAACCAGAAGCCAGGCTCCACCTTTCCCTAACCTCATTAAAGGGCTGGCTGCCACAAAGGAAGTCATTTCTACTCAGAGATCACCTTCTTTGGAGTGTTTGGTCAGTCATGATCTTCGGCAGGTGGTAAGCAGCCATTTTTATTTAACAGATTGTGACCTTTATCTTTCTTGGGTAATTAAAGACTGCCTTAAAGCAGCTATATCTGTTATCACTTTTCTCTACAGTACTGCACTTAGAAAATGTAATTTTTGAGACCCTTGAATTAGAGTAATACATCAACTTGAGGAAAAAAAAATGGCTTTCTACCATTGTGCCACATAGTTTGAACAAGAGAACAAGACACACATGTTTCATTCTAATGGAAAAATCTATTGTTTTGTGTAGTCTATAGCCTGGTTTATATGCTTTGACAGTCCAACTATTTATGTACCCAACGGCTCATGGCTTATGCGTTTAGTAAACTTTAACAAGAGGCAAGTGAGGTCTAGTTTCCCAAGGGACAAGTAGACATATAGCTGCCTCTGAACTCAGAGGGAACCTAGAGACCACCCAGAGTCTGACCAGAGAGACCTTAAAGTGTGGGGAAAAAAAATGAACTTATGCAATAAGTACTTGGTAAAAACCTTATTCCCTTGCATTCCCTTCCAAAGCACTTCTGTTTGGTTCCTGTGTAATTTGAAGTTTCCCTTCCAAACTAGAAAAGTTATCCAGAACTATAACTCCTTTGGGTCTGCACCTGCAAACACAGACTTGCATACTAGTCTTTGAATGGCTTGCTGCTTGCTTGTGCATACAAAAGATTTGTATTCCTATCAGAAAAGAAAACTATACATCATAAAGTACCTAAGAAGCAACCTTAGCTATCATCAGCAAAAACATCTGCTGTCAGTATTAATCTCAGCAAATGTTCTCTGAACACTTCAAGAAAAGGATAGAGAAGGATTACAGACCAAATTACAGGATGACAAAACAGGATCAGTACCAGAACATGCTTCAGAGCTGAGAGCATAAAAACCTTTCGGGGCATTTCTTATGTAGTTCCCATTGAAAACAATGGCATTTTCTACTAGAATTCCCCTGAAAGGGGGAAATGTATTAGCCTCAGACCAGTAAGAAATTACACTCTGATGATCCTGGTGGGAGCAGGGAAGATACTTCTCCATTAAAAAAAAAAACAGCTGGCTGCAAATGGCAAGTAATTTCACTCTCTTCAAAGGTTATTCTTTGGGCCCTGCAGGATGCCAGTGAAGTTGCGGGACTCCCATTGAAAATGTCATTTCTTCTTGTCCAATTTGAAGGGTTGTGAGAGAACTGTCAGGGCTCCCTTTCTTCACAGTCGCACACATACCATTTTTACAGGTGGGAAAAAGGAGAGAGATAACTAGAGAGGGAGTAAATAGCAGAATACAGTAAGCTGCTGAGTGTTGGAAGGGAGCTGGGACAGATGTAAACTTGGTAGTTCATGGAGTGGCTTCCTTGTCAATTTGAGATAGCGTAAAATAAAAGGGAGGTGAATTAGAAAGGTGAGGAAAGATTTGACAGAGCAGTTAATCTTCATCTTTTTTGTTTATTATATGGGTGGGGGAAAATTGTAGAGAAAAGACACTTATATAAAAAAAAAACTCAGAAAAAAGAAAACATTGTTAAGAATGCTGAGCAGCAGAAGGTTTAAGAATATGGGTGACCTAGTGGATTGAAGCCTAGAGGAGTAAAAAGATAATGTGATACATGAACTGATGACAAGTATTAGTCATTTACAGTTTCCAGGGAAAATACAAGAGCAATGCTAAATAACCTCTGCCACCAGATAGACTAGCAGACATGATAAAGTGCTCAGAATTCCTGGGTAATGCAATGGCTGAGATTTGTGAGCTGGTAGCATCTTCTGCTCTTGTACTTATAAAGCTCACACCCACAAGGGTGTATGTCTGCTCTTGGGCCACTGACATACTTTATGGACAGACACAGTGGTGCTCCATGTAGAGCTAATTATCTTTTTGCCTAATAATAAAGTGGGAGTTGCATCAAGATTTCTGCCCTGCACAGTATTTGAAGTATTTTTTTAAGTCACAGTCATGGTGACTCACTCCACTCCACTGCCCACTCATGGGCAGAACCTTTTGGGTATTGCAGGTAGATACAGTTTTCTTGTTCATTGCAGCTTATTTCAGCTTCATACTGGCAGAACATGCTGGAGTTGCTCAACCCCACTGCCAGAATTTTGAAGATAGCCAGCAGGATAATCTAACATATTCCCTATGTTCTAAAAGGCCAATGAAATTGTGGTCTTTCCAGGTTTACCACCCAGCCCTATCCTCCAACATTTTCTCAGATTTTTTTGACCATCTCATAAACTCTTTCTCATGAGGTTACCCCAGTGTAGTTCAGCAGGAACCATCCAGTAAATCTTCCTGCTGTCTTCCAATTTTCATGAGGTAGAATAGAATCTTTTTCTCTCCCAAGGAAGAAAATTCATCATACAAATTTCACTATACTGAGGGATACCATATGAGTTTCCGATCCTAAATTACACATCTAAAGCTGGTTTTTGTGGAAAAACAAACAACCAAAAAATTGAAGAGGACACTGAACAAACACAGTCATTGTTTAGATCTCAGTTAATCTGATGGCAGTAATTATTTCACTTGGAAATCGCATATACACAAACAAATGCAAAAATGTATACTTCCCTGAGGAGCAGACACAGTACCTGCTCTAGGTCTTCTGCTGTTCTTTTATTTTCCCCTGTGGCATCTTGATATGGCAAAATGAAGAGTTCAGCAGATGTGGGCAGGCCAGGGAGCACTGCGACCAGAATATGCTTGCTTGAAATACCTGTTGCCTGATACATAGACAATTAGTGGACAGCAGGGATGGCATTGAATGCTGACAATTTCTTTGTGAAAGTGCTGCAGTTCTGTAAAGAAGTGATGTTAGTTGCCTCTTGTACTGCGAAGGGAATCTTGTAAAAATCCAGTGCAAGTAAAAAAAATTAGGGATTAATAATTTTACTTCATTCTGCTGTAAAATATACAGTCCTGGGGCAACAGTGATCATCAGATGTGCTAAAAGGAATTCCTAAATCTGACATACGACTTATGTTATCTGAACATAGCAGTTTTAAACTTGTCTGTGTACTCTAAGCTGATCCCTGAGGTTTTTTGTTTTGTCAGTAGTAAGAAGTAGCCTGTTAAAAGGAAAGGTATGTGGGCTGAATTGCACTCTAAAGATCTGATTAATCAAAACAGAGCCTAAAATCCTCTTGGAGACTCAGGTGGAAAAATAAGAACATGAATCAGATTTGAATCCCCAAAAGTCAAATTCTTTATAGTTCACACCCTGGGTCAGTTCTACAAGGTAATGAGGAATTTATTTATTTAGATGTTATATGTTGTATTAATGTGCAACTATTTAACATCTTGTTGGCTGAACATCTTAAACCATTAGTTTAGACCCAAACATTCCTTCAATGCAAAATTAGCCAAAATTCAGAAAGCAAATACCCCACAGTCACTGCTAGTCACTGCACAGTCATCACTGCTAGGATCATCTCTATGTATGGGTTTCAGGTGCTGTTATGAAGACATTGCAGAGTGCATTGTAGAGTTCTTCTCCAGAAAACAAGTTTGTTGGCTTTCAGGAAGTTCTACGGGCCAAAAGGAGGAGAAACACAGTCTGCTGAATCTTCCTCCTCTGCCTCTTTGTTGTGGATTCTCCAGCCTGTTGTTTAAATCTCTGATTTTAAAATGCTAATTATTGTTACATTCATTTTTGAGCTGGAGGGGTGGGGAAGTACCCTCACATAAGGGCAGACCATGGTAGCTGGGTACAACAGGATGTCTGCAGAACATGAAATGCTCTGATGTTAATTAAACCTAAGACTTGTGGAGTGGTTCAGGAGCCAAGGCTTAATGCAGAGGATGGGATAACATCTGAACTTTAACTGAAGCTCTCCATCACCTCCCCATGTGACTGCTGACAGCAGAGGGAATACTGTGTAGAGCTATGAAAAAGGAAACTTTCCACTGCATACCAAAAAAAAAAAAAAAAAAAGACAACCCACGAGCTTTCATTACTCCTGTTTTTTAGTGGGGGTTTAGAAGAAGAATTATAACAGCATAAAAGTTTCATACATTCTTACCAAGCATCTGAGAAGCTAGGGCTTGTATTATTTGTGCCTGCCTAACAGGTTGTTTTAAGTTGTCAAGAAAAAGACACAGCTTTACCAGTTAATGGAAAGTCTTCATTTTCTGAGACTGAGAATGATGATGATTATTATTATTTTTAGCCAGAAGCTTTTGTCTGATGTACTCAGTTCATTCTTGTATTCATCAAAAGTAGAAGACAGAACTCAAAAAATCAATGATGTGAGGAATAATTATGATTGTAATACAAAATAGGATATTTTGTGATAATGTGAAATTATCCTTACACACAGAGAAGATCAGATTTGAGTAGAGAACTATAATTTCTTATGCAGAATTTTTATCCAAGTCCGCAGGACTCCTTAATAAGAATGTAATACTTAAATAAAACTTCATAAAAATTCTGTAGCACAGCTATAATTTCCTGTTGAATTATTTAGTTATTCAACTTATTTTTATACAGTGTACTTAATTGCGATAAATCTATTGGTTTTAACTTTAATTTCTATAGGAACTTCGAACAAAGGCTTATTTAAGGTGAATCATTTAGCTATATAAAGGGGGATAATTAGCTATCAGTTTTTTCTTATGCAAACAACAAAAAGACTGTGTTTTCACTGCTTTGCTTTGGGAATATATCCTTGGTACTGTGATTTTTATAATCCTTTTTTTTCATGGCTTGATTTTCTTTTGAGTTGTTTATCTTTTGAAAATTCATCCTAAAGATAAATGGAACCTTGAGTACTTGATACAGACATAAATAAGCCAAAAGGACAAGCTTCAGAAAACTGGGTTTGTTTTTTTTTTTTTTTTTTTTTTTTTTTTTTTTTTTTTTTTTT